AAAGGGGTCGTTTCGATAGTGTATTTGAGCGAGTTATTTATGAGTTACTTGCACACAAATAACTCATTGGACAACATTTTGCTTAAATGAGTTATTTGGCAAGTGAGTTATTTACAAATAACTCATACCCCCTGTGTTATATCGTAATAACTCGTTTTACCTTCTGTTTTTGCCGAATACCACATGCCAAATACCAAATTTACATGATTTTACCAAACTAGATACTTTAATTCAATTACCACTGAAATACCACATGAACAATTACTGAGTTATTTGACTCTACAAATACCACATTGACAATTAATCCATCCAAACAACCCCTAGAGTATTTTTCAGTTTGGGATTTGGTTTTGGATTATGGATGATTTCGAATGTTTTATTCCAAGTCGAATGATTTATTTATGATTCTCAAGGGCATTTTGGGAAATTGAATGACCGGCCGGTATAAGGTGTTACATTTTGGTATCACAACCTAGTACTCTCTGTCTGCACTTTGTAAGTGAGATACTGGGAATTAGGTCTATGTTTCAACAAAGTTTAATGATTTCAAAAACTTTTCAACCAAGTTTTCATGAAAATCTGAAATTATTTTAGAGCATCCAGTCTCTTCTATTAATAAGTGCAAATGTTCCAAGGTTATGATGCAACGTCGTTGTCGTATGTAGGAGTATGAATGGAGAAAACTCTCAGCAAGTTGGTGGTCAATGCCTACCTCTAAACTACGTTGCGCTTAGGAAGATTTGTGTCAACTGTCAAGGACTTTGAGGGATCCGCAGACCCTGAGGTGGTCGATGCTTGGCTGTTGAAGGTCACTCGCGCCGTAGACGAGTACCGTATCATAACCATGAAGACATGATCGCCACGACTGTCCACGTGATCTAGGGAACTGCTAGAGATTGGTGGCACCTCCAACCAGAGAGTGAAGTAGTACCTATAGAGATCACCTGGAATGAGTTCGTGACGATGTTTCACGATGAACACTTTCCTTAGTCCGGGATGATAAGAGGGAAGATTTTATGAAGTTGAAGCAGCAGTAGTGGCAGAGTGTCAAGGAATACACAGAGTTATTCAAGAAGCTGTGAAAATATGTTGATCCCGTGTATTGGACTATAGCAGGGATGCAAGAACACTATGTCTAGGGTTTGAGTTCGGATATGAAGAAATGTATGGGAGAAGTGGAAAGGGCATCTCAAGTCACGAGATACAGAGCTTCCCTTCTCATTGAGAGGGATAATAAGATGGCTCAACAAGAGAGGGCTAGCATATTGGACACCAGGAAGAGGAAGGAGTCCACCTACTCCGAAAGCCAGACACACGCGATGCATCCTACTAAGAGGGGGCATGGTTCCTTCGTCCAACAAGATACTCAGAGTCATGAAGGATCTACCATCTTTGCTAGAAGTTTGGGTATTGTGCCAATGAATCTTAGCTAGAATCTAGGAGTACGTACACCCGTGGGTGATACGTTAGTTGTTAACTCCTTTGTCAGGGAGTTCATAATCATGGTTTCCGAGTATGAGCTGGAGGCAAATCTCATATAGCTTCCCTTTATTGAATTCGACACAATCTTAGGGATGGATTGGCTATCTAAGCACAAAGCGTTGGTTGACTGTTTTAACAAGGAGGTCTGATTTGACATGGGAGAAAGAGGTGTGCAAATATTCAAGGGGATACGAAGAGATATATCCTCAAGCCTAATATCTGCAACCACGACGTTCGCACTAATCAATGATGGCTTTGAAACTTACTTGGCCTATGTATGGTGACACCAGAAGTTAAGCTCGAAGAGGTAGAAATCGTGAAAGAGTTTCCATATGTATTTCTAGAATATCTTCATGGGTTACCTCCTAGAAGAGAGATCGAGTTCGACATTGAGATCTTACCGGGCACTGCTCTAATCTTAATGCCACCATACCGAATGGAACCAGTAGAACTCAAGGAATTAAAGAAGCAATTGCAAGAACTGCTAGACAATGGATTCATTCGCTCCAAAATATCCTCATAGGGAGCCCCGGTGCTCTTCGTGAAGAAGTAAGATGGGACTATGTGGATGTGCATCAACTATAGGAGGTTAAACAAGGCAACAACCAAGAATCATTATCCACTGCCCAGGATAGATGACTTGTTTAGTCAACTACAGGGTGCCTTTGTGTTCTCATAGATTGACTTGAGGTTGGGATATCCTCAGTTGTAGATGGCAGAATCCTCTATTCCGAAGATAGCTTTTGTGCTCGATATGGACACTATGAGTTCTTGGTGTTGCCTTTTTGGTTGACCAATGCACCAGCAGTATTCATGGCACTGATGAATAATGTAGTCCATGAGTATTTAGACAAGTTTGTCATCATGTTCATTGATGACATCCTCATTTACTCAAAGAGCCACGATAAGCATAAGGAGCACTTGAGAATCACATTGCAAAAGTTGAGGGATGAGAATTTGTATGCAAAGTTCTCCAAGTGTGAATTTTGGCTAAAGGAAGTGTTGTTTCTGGGCCATGTGGTTTCAGGGAAGGGAATGGAAGTAGATCCTAAGAAGGTAGAGGTTGTTGTGAATTGGGAGCCTCCAAAGAAAGTCCCGGAGTTAAGGAGCTGTCTAGGCATGGCTAGGGTACTATAGAAGGTTTGTAGAGGGCTTCTCACGCATCGACATACCTTTGACCCAGCTACTCCGCAAGGAAGTGGCATACACCTAGAATGATTAGTGCCAAGAAGCATTCGAGGAGCTTAAAAGGAAACTTACTATTGCACTGATACTTGCACTACCATCAAGTAAATGAGAGTATGCCATATATAATGATGCTTCATACAGGGGGTTGGGATGTGTCATCATTCAGAACAAGAAGGTGATTGCTTATGCCCGAAGGCAATTATGACTACATGAGGTGAACTACCCAACACATGACATGGAGCTAGCCATAGTGGTATTTGCATTAAAGTTGTGGAGACACTATCTATATGGTGAGACTTTTAAAATCTTTACGGATCACAAGAGTTTGAAACACCTCAGGGATAAGAAGGAACTGAACATGAGAAATGGAAGATGGATGCAGTTGTTGGGTGATTATGATTGTGAAGCTATAACTGGAAGATGCTACAACTATGATGGTGAATTTGAGTATTGGACCACTATTGCATGATCGAATCAAGGAGAATCAGAAAGACGATCTAGTTCTGGAAAGTACATCCAGGAGGTGCTGGATGGGAAGAATACTACGTTCAAAGTGATTGATGAGATTCTACGATTCCAGGGTAGAGCTTGTATACCCAATGTGGAAAAATTAAGGTAGGAGATTTTAATGAAGCTCATTGTGCACCTTATGCCTTGCACCCAGGATCAACCAAGATGTATCGGACCTTGCAAGAACATTTTTGGTGGCCCAATATGAAGAAAGAGGTAGCTGAGTATGTACATAAAGTGGAACACACATCACTATGTATTTTGTATACGGTTTGTGAAAGGTAGAGTGGGAAAATGATAGAGTTTGAGTGCTTGTAGACCGCCTCATCAAATCCGACCACTTCATTCCCATCAAGTTCAAGCTAGGGGTGGATGCATTGGCAGACTTGTACATCCAAAAGGCGGTACGACTACATAAAGTCCCTCTAACCATTGTGTCAGATCGAGACCCTATCTTCACCGGGCAGTTCTGGAAGCCTTCACAAGCCCTTGGGAACCAAGCTTCACTTCTTTACTGCCTATCACCCTCAGACTATTGGGTAGAGCAAAAGAACGATCCATATATTAGAGGATTTATTGAGAGCTTGCACGTTGCAAACGGAGGGGTCATGGGATAAGTACCTCCATCTTCTTGAGTTTGCTTATAACAATCATTACCACAGTTCTCTAAGGATGGCACCATACGAGGCATTGTATGAAAGGAAGTATAGATCTCCTTTGTACTAGGACAAGGAAGGATTGGGTAGATAAAAGGCCTAGAAGTGTTAAAGTGATGAAATCACTAACCATCAATTCACTTAGGGGTCGTTTGGCGAATATGAGTTTAAATCTATAGATTGTCAACAATCTAAAGATTCTAACTCTTCGGATTGTTGAAAATAGATTTTAAAATGTTTATTGTTTGGTAACTATGATTGTTAATATTCAATGAAAATAAAAATTTAATTTTATATGAAATAACATGTTTATCTATGATAAAAAATTAGAGTGATTCGAAAAATATTAAAAAATTTATTGATAAATATATTTAATATGATATATAAATAAAAGAAAGATAAAATGTAGGAGGAAAAAAAATCACAAATCAAGATATAGAATCTCTTTGAATATGAGAGATTTGATATCCGTAGATTTTAGAGATTTGAAATCTTTAAGGCTTAAAAAAACAAAAAAAAACATAACTTTATATAAAATCTACGGATTAAATGAATCCATGCACTAAGGGGTCGTTTGGAAGTTGTGATTGTTAGAGTTGTGATTGTTGAATACATGTATTGTGAACAATACAATGTTTGGAAGTGTCAAAATGTAAAACAATGCGTGCATTGTTTTAGGTCCCACCAACAATCACAAAAAATGATGCATTATACAATCTCAACTAAAAGTTGAGATTGTTGTGATTGTTGGTTTTAGATTTGTGTCAACTTTTTCTTTCCATTTATACCTTAATAGTTTTTGTCTTATTCTAAAAGTTGAGGGTAAATGTGACATTTCCCCATAAAGTAACTTTATGGAAATCAATGCATAAAATAGAATCTCAACAACCAAACAATGTATTGTGAAAATATATCTATTGTATCAATACATGCATTTATATTATGGTGATTCATTACAATGCAACGATTTAACATTCGCAACTTCCAAACAACCCCTAAATCTCGTTCTCCAAATAACCCTTATTCAACCAGACCAACTTGCTAAACGCTTCAAGTGGGTTAACAAATGACAACCTTGCAGCAAAGCAGGCGGGAGGCAGCGAAGCGCTTGTTTTCTGCGTAAACACCACGCGCGCGCCTTTTAGAGAAATCGCCCATAAACAAGTTCTAGAAGTCTCCTCTTATCGTCTCATCAAAATAAAAACTCCTCTCTCTCAGTCTGAAAGCTAAACTAGGGTTTCTCTATCTTCTCGACTCTCCTCCTCAATTCTCCCACCAAACTCCTAGGTAACGTAACAACTTCTTCTTGTTAAGTCAACTCCTATTATGCATTTTGCATTTTGCTGATTTCGAATGAGAAGTCCTGATGGGATCGCTATTTTGAGATTCAGGAAGGCATACTAATGGCGGCTTCTCAGCTCACTGCATCTTCAGTCTCGGTGTCGGCCAGGAACCTGGTTTCATTTGAAGGACTAAAACCCTCCGCCGTGAAGTTTGCATCTTTCGGGGTATTGAAGCCCGGTGGCCTGTCCCAACGCTCATTCCAGGGATTGGTCGTCCAAGCAGCCACCGTCGTTGCCCCTAAGGTAGCTAGCTTGCCTAATGTTTGAATTATTATTTGTGGCTATATTATGGATTGGTGTGACCAATTATACTGATTCCCGTCTTATTTCCTGTCATTGTTGTGAACGTCAATGTGGTAAGCGGACCACTTTTTGGGGTTGAATTCTGATTTCATCACTCTGCTTTTGGCTATGATTTGATTAGGGAATCAGGTAGTTCCTTTTTCCTTTATTGGCCAAGTGTCGTAATGTTTGATTCCTTGATTTTCCAGTACACTTCGATTAAGCCACTGGGTGATAGAGTGCTGGTGAAGATAAAGACTGTGGAGGAGAAAACTGGTGGTGGTATTTTGCTCCCATCTTCGGCACAGTCAAAGCCTCAAGGAGGTGAGGTTGTTGCTGTTGGAGAGGGCAAGTCAATTGGTAGCAAAACCTTGGACATTATTGTTAAGGTATAAGCTTTTTCCTCTTTTCCCCGGATTTGAGAATCTTGTAATTAGCCTGTTCTATGCTGTGTTGGACAAGTTTAGAGTATAACGAACTTGGTTATTGCCTTGTTTAGACTGGTGCTAAGGTTGTTTATTCCAAGTATGCTGGCACTGAGGTTGAATTCAATGGTGAAAGCCATCTGATTCTGAAGGAAGATGACATTGTCGGTATTCTTGAGACAGAAGACATTAAGGACCTCAAGCCCCTCAATGACAGAGTTTTCATTAAGGTGCGGTTCTTCGCATTTGTGCTTGATTAACCCTCGCACTGTGGTTGTATTGTTTCCATATTTATATTGACTGTATGTTCCAGAAGCAATGACAAATCGAGATACAAACCCTTTCTGTACTGACGTCTTCAAGAATGAAGGCGCAGTTTGTAATTTTATCTCATGTCCTGTTGCAGGTTGCTGAGGCCGAGGAGAAGACTGCTGGAGGTTTGTTGCTCACAGAGGCATCCAAGGAGAAGCCTTCCATTGGCTCGGTTAGTAGTAGAAATACTTTTGTCTGCTTATCATTTGATTGACAATGTTTGTGGCTTAAGATCCTGACTTGCATTTGATTAAACAGGTGATAGCAGTTGGACCTGGACCTGTAGACGAGGAAGGTAACACGAAGCCTCTGTCAATCTCCCCTGGAAACACGGTGTTGTACTCCAAGTATGCAGGGAACGACTTCAAGGGCAGTGATGGTTCCAACTACATTGCCCTTAGAGCTTCAGATGTGATGGCTGTCCTGTCGTAGTTTGGGTTGTTTCTTTATCCGGAATAGATAGATTGATGGATGTGCCTCCTGAATTTTGTGGGTTGAGGAATGGCATACACCGTTTTGTAGCCTTAAAAATGTAACCGGATTGTTCTGTTATGATAAGAAATGCTAAGCTATGAATAATAAAGCCATCCTCGGAGTTCCCACGTTTTGTGACAAGATCATATGTTTGTTGCCGGCTTATAATTAAACCCACCATACCTTTTCTAAAGACTGGGACTTGAATGAAACCCTAACAATAGAACACGTGAAGTACAATGCAAGCCAATGAAACGATAATACTGCCACTTCTGGATTTATGAGAAGTAAAATGCCTCTAACATCATCTTGTTCTGTTCTGTGGGGGGCAAGCCAGTACGGTGTTGGTACTTCCATTCTCGATTTCCTACAAGTTCAATACCTAAACTCTTTTTGGACTCTGAAAATGGTTCAATATAATAGTGAATAAGGCATATGATATGATGTCTCATCAATCCAACCAATAAAACTTAAAAAATCCGTCCCATACATGCCAAATGTTGGTGCCATCTGTATGTCAATAGAAGATGATCTCTCTTTTTTTTTTGACTGAAGCATTCATTCAAAACCCGAGAAAGCGGTTACAAAGTCTCAATGAAGCCCAAGGAGAGGGGCAATGATGTTAAGAATCAAAATCCAATCCTGAAGAAGCTCCTCACGCGCAGTAGCACGCGCCACCCAATCCGCTCGAGCATTAAGTTTCCTTCTGAAGAAAGAGACCTTGATGTCTGGATTCTGACTCAGAATGCCAACCATGATTCCTAGCCAAGCCGAGACTCGCCAAGGCCATGACGCCGGTGGAGCCGAGAGGGCCAGGACCAAAGGTAGACAATCTGATCGGATCCAGCATGGGATCGAGAGATGACAGGCAAGCAAGAGGGCTTCAAGGAGAGCTTTTGCTTCCGCTTCCAGGGGTGAAGAACAGAGAAGAGTGCCGGCCCTCCCATCAAAAATAACTCCATGATCGTTGATCGCAACAACGCCATAAGCCGCCTTCTGGGGATCATTTATGAACGATCCATCACAGTGAATCTCTAAATAGGGATTGCTCGGCGGTGGGGGAATTTGCTCCAGGTTGGTGGTGGGCTGGCACGGGGTGGTGTGAATGTCTCTGGGGATCTTTGGACATGACGTCCAAGCGAAGCACTCATTAGCAGCCTTGGCGCAGGTGGAAGGCGGCCAAGTTCCAACATTACGAAAAACTTTTTCGTTGCGAGCTTTCCAGACATGCCAAAGAAGGAAGATGGCCAGCTGGACTGACGTCTCAGGGACGTGATCCTTGATGTCCAAAAGCCAGTCGAGGATACCGACCTGGGGGGGAGGAGTGGGCAGGTTGGGGAACATGTTCTCCCAGGCCGCCCTTGCATGCTCGCACCCAAACAGGCAGTGGTGGACCGTCTAGGAACACACCTGGCAGACCGGGGAAGGGGAGCAGCTTCGGTTATGAAGGTTCCTTTTGGTAGCCAGGGCACCTCGAGCACATCTCCAAACGAAGAAACGCATCTTCGGGGGGAGGGAAAGACTCCAAATCCATTTCCATTTCTCCTTCTCAGTCTCGGGGAAGGGGTTCACCCCGTTGATGACTCCTCTTTTAATGTCATGGAAGAAATGGTAAGCAGAACTGACCGAGAACTTCCCTGTGTCAGTGAATCTCCAAGCCCAGAAGTCTTCAGCATCTTCCCTCCCGATGGGGACGAGCTTAACCATCTCCGCTTGGTGAGGCTCAATAATTGCGTTGACCGCAACATCATTCCATTCCCTGCTATTCATGTCAATCAGGTCCTCCACTGTCAGCAACCCGTGGTCTGAGTTCTGGAGCTTGTTCCCATAGAGACCAGGGATCCATGGATCATGAAAGACACTTGTGCTCCTGCCATTGCCAATGATGCGAACCGTACCTTTCTCCACAAGCTTCCTGACTTCCCAAAGACTTGACCAAATCCATGATGGTTTTCCCCCTTTACGCGCTGTCAGGAAGCTCGATCCGGGGAAGTAGAGACCTTTGAGGAGGCGAGCCCAAAGCGCATTAGGTTCCGTGAGAAGCCGCCATGCTTGCTTTGCCAACAAGGCAAGATTGAACTCTTTAAAAGATCGGAAACCAATCTCTCCTTCCTCTTTTGGGGCACAAAGTCGATCCCCGTGACACCAGTGAATGGACTTCTTCTGGATGTTTCCTGACCAGAAGAATCTTCTGAGCAAGGAATCCATCCTCTTCAAGGTTGCACCTGGCAGGAGAAAGAGACACATGATGAACGTCGGGATTGCTTGGAACACGGCTTTCCGCAGAGTTTCTTTTCCCCCCGGGGAGAGGAGTAGACTTTTCCAAGATTCCCCTTTCTTCTCCATCCGGTTGATCAGGAACGCAAATGTTTCTTTCTTCGACCGACCCCATTCTGTAGGAACTCCAAGGTAATGAGAGTGACAATTTGTAGGCGCGAAGCCAATAGTGTTGGTGATCTCCTCTTTCTCTGCCGGAGGGACATTATGGCTAAAGAAGACAGACGATTTTGAACCGTTGACTTCTTGTCCCGTGATGGCTCCATAGTCGTTGATGATGTCCATGATTCTCGTCGCTTCCTCAACTGTTGCTTTCCCGAAGATAACTGTGTCATCAGCAAACAGACAGTGAGTAAGGATGGGGCAGTTCCGATTGAGTTTCAGACCTTTAAAAAGATTCAAGTCCACCGCTCTCTCAATCAAGAAAGAAAGAGCATTAGACATGAGGATAAACAAGAGAGGGGAAAGTGGGTTTCCCTGCCGAATCCCCCTTTCAGGAGTGAACTCTGGTGTGACTTCCCCATTGAAAAGGATGGAGAACTTGACCGAGGTGATGCATTCTTTGATCCACGAAAGCCAAATTGGGCTGAACCCGTAGCTCGTGAGAAGCTTGATCAAACACTTCCAGTCCACTAGGTCATAAGCCTTTCTCATATCAAACTTCAGCATCATATCCCTTCGGTTGCCAGTCTTATGCTTCTTAAAATGGTTGAGCACCTCATGAACAATGACGATATTATCCTGAATTTGTCGCACTCCAGTAAAGGCCGTTTGCAACTCATTAACCAGCACTGGAAGCCATTTTTGCAGTCGAGTCGTCATAATCTTCGTCACCACCTTGTACCTAAAGTTGCAGCAGCTAATGGGGCGGAATTGGCTAATCAGCTCTGGTGCATCCACCTTGGGGACTAGGGTAATGTGAGTCCTGTTCCACCCTTCTGGAAGCTTGCTCGTGGCAAAAAAACCTTTGATTTCTTGGCAAAGCTCTTCCCCCACTGTGGGCCAGAACTTCCTGAAGAAGTGCCCCGGGAACCCATCCGGACCAGGTGCTTTAGAGGCCCCTAAGCTAAACACAGCCTTGCGGATCTCCTCGTCACCCACCGGTGCACACAACTCATCGTTCATTTCTTGAGAAACCAGCGAGGGGAAGCTATCAAGAGAAGAAGGAAGAATAAGATTCTCCCTAGCTTTAAAAAGGTCCTTGTAGAAATGAACAGACTGTTGCTTGAGATGCGCTTCATCATCCATCCACTCATCATTAGAGTCTTTAAGTCTTAGGATTTTGTTTGAGTTTCTTCTCTGGATGGTACTAGCATGGAAGAAGGAATTATTTTGGTCGCCAAGCTGTAACCATGAGACCCTTGAACGTTGAGCCCAATAGGCTTCCTCTTCTTTCCACAAGTCCGCCAACTCCTTCGTGAGAGTTTTCTCTTCCTCCACTTCATTCTGCAGTCGAACTGGTCCTTGGATGGCACACAATCTCTCCTTGATATCCTTTTCTCTTCTCATTTTTTTGATTCCCTCCTCTTTCGCCCACATTTTCAATCTTAATTCACATTGGTGCAGCTTGTACTCCGAATCACCAGGCGTCTGCCAAATTTGCTCAATAATAGCTTTGCACTCCACATTGTCCTTCCATCTTTTGTCAAACCGGAAAGGGATCGCCCTTCTGGAGTCAGAAAAATCAATGTCAATTCTGAGCGGGCAATGGTCAGACTCAATCATATCTTCATGGAACACCAAAGCCCTCTCAAAATCAGTTCTCCAGGCTGCTGAGCAAACTGCTTGATCAAGTCTTTCCCTTATGAGTCTTTGTCCTTGTTGTTTGTTAGTCCATGTGAAAGGTTGTCCCTTGAATCCCAAGTCGAGGAGCGCGTTCCGAAAGAGGAAGTACTTCAAAGGGGCTACATTTTCATTCCTCAATGGGCATCTCCCTTCTTTTTCATGCTCGAAAAGAGCTACATTTAGGTCTCCCACAATAAGCCAACTATCTCCTATATTGTCCCTAATAGTGCTAAGATGCTCCCAGAACACTCTCCTACCCAAGGTAGTGGTGGGTGCATGGACAAAAGTGCAAAAAAAAGATTTGCTACCATAGTTAATCCTAACATCAAAGTAGTTGCTACTGGAGTCAATGACTTGTACATCAAGTGTATCCCTCCACCAAATAGCTAAACCGCTACACCCATCCGAGGGTTCAACATAATCCGAATGCTGAAAAAACGTCGATCTTCTCTGGTTCTCCATGAAAGCAGAATCCTTCTTGGTCTCCATGAGAAATAAAATTGACGGGCCAAACTGCCGGCAGAATCTTTTGCAGTAGCTTCGTGTAGGGGGTAGGCCAAACCCCATACAATTCCAACTCATTATCTTCAGTTGGGATGTGGTGGCTTAAGGCTGTCCACCGCCGCCTGTGATGAGGAAGTATCCCCTCCTCCCGGTTCTTTGTTACTCCTGTTTCCCGCTGGTAGAGACTTCCTCCTAGTTGGTATCTTCTTCCTCTGTTTCTCAGCACAAAAATTTCCCAGGTTGAAGGAGAGCTCCTTACCCGCTGATGAGGGGAGCAGATTGGGCTCTGTGTCCATTATCTCCAGCGCATATCTGTCTGCTGGTTTCCTTTTCTTTTCAGCCCGGCCCATCAGCCGATCAAAGTTTTGTTGGGCTTCCTGGACAAGTGTGAGAGGTGGGCTGTAGCTTCTGGTTAGCGGCCCACTATCTCCTCTCATGCTTTGGGTTGTGAAGTGGGCTGGTTGGGCAAGTGAGAGCCCACTCCCTAACCCTAGCTGCCCTGTCTCCCCACTGTATTCTTCTTGTCCCCAATTGAGATCGAGGGATCTCTGAACCACTGCAGCCACTTCCTCCAAATCCTCATCCAGCCTTCTCGGTGTGCACAGC